GCAAATAACTTCAGTTTTATTTTTTTGGATAAAATTGTATATCCGTGATGAATTGTTTATTTGATCGACACTGGAAATCTTATTGCGAGAACGTTTGAACAAAGGTGTTCTGTTGAGAGGCAGGCACTGAACTCTTTGCTGTGCTAGTGTAACATAGTTGATCCGATATTGTGTCGGTTTAAATCGCGAATTTACCGCATAAATATGTGATGCGTCACAGAACTCGGGCATCCAGAATGTCACTTTTTGCGCCGCTGGGTGACCGTATTCCGAGTTTGAAACTGCCGCGTTATATGCGATTCGATTCATCATCTCCGACACGTCGGCGTCGAAACGCGAATGTGGCAGCTTGTGGACGCTGCAGTCGTCCCTCGTCAGTGCCTTCGCGATTTCAGCGAACTAGCTCTAGCATGAATAACGCTAAGCCGCAGCTCAGTACCTCTGTGATTCTTCGTGAAAAGGTTTTTTTTAGATCTGTTTTTAATGAAGTGCACTTGTGCCAAGTACGCGATACGCGTCACATTCATCCGTTGCAAATCTCTGAAACAGTCACGTGGCCATGCTCGTTTATGCCGGCCAGTAGGGCATACGCTGTTGACAGTGAAATAGGGAAGGGAAAATACCTCTCTTTTTCATGAGCGATCAGACACGTTGCTATCAATTTGTCATTGAATAATTCAGTAGGCTTTTCAGAGCTCTCTGTTTTCAGCGATCAATATTAGTCAGAGAGAACGACGCTACAGGTACGTGTTAGATTCAGGCCTTGCCTCTTTATCATGTTAAAAAATCACTCAAATGTGAAGTCAGCTAGGTTTCAATACCATTATGAATTCGATTTGAAACTACGCCAAGCTATAACTTCGACTTGAAACCTCCAGTTTATAACTTCCTCTATCCAAGAATCTCAGTTAGTTCGAATTTGGACCTGAATTTGCAGGTCGAGGAACGCAGAAAATTGAAACTCGTTGGGATTTCACTCGCAGAATTTCAGCTTTATAGCTTTCAAGAAGCATAGTCATTTAACCAAACACATGATCTTGAGTTGAAGCGGATTTTGATCATGCAATATTGCATAAAAAATGGGCGTAACTAGTGAGATTTATTGGTGAAAGGGGTGCAGGTGTGATTATGGAGACACTGCTTAAAACTTTCGTAAAACCTTACATTAGTGCTGTTTTTTTATGCGTTTTGTGCTGTGTAACAGCAGTACAAAACGCATATTGTTACGGGGTCGTCTGTGTGTGTGTGTGTGTGTGTGTGTGTGTATGTGTGTGTGTGTGTGTCCGCAGCAACTTGTCCGCAACTTTCAACTCGGGAA